GACACGATCCTGAGACAGTTCCATCCACATCCCACCCTCACAGCCTGTTTCCCTAAGATCCATCTTTTTTTTATTGCTAGTGGGGTGGGACTAAGTCCCTTGTACTGCGGCCACTTCTGGCCTATTGTACTAGCCCCAGATGATAGGTGAGGGTGATTGTGAAGCAATTGGTGGAATGATGATTGGCAGGGGAAACCGAAGTACTCGGAGGAAACCTGGCCCAGCGCCACTTTGTCCACCACAAATCCCACTTGACCACATCCGGGATCGAAACCGGGCCGCCGCGGTGGGGAAGCCAGCGACTAACCGCTTGAGCTATTGTGCGGTCAAAAGATCCATCTTACTAACTAACTAACCCTCTGGTAGCAGAACCCGAAGGTTCGACACCGCTAATACCAAAGCCCGCCACTGGACACGATCCTGAGCCAGTTCCATCCACCTCCTTGCAGACTGCAGCCACCTGCTCACGCTGGTTCCTCGCTCGCTAATTTTTCTACCCTGAAGATGGAGGTGATACGATCCTCCAAAACGTCGGTTTACACTAGATCTACACGGCGTCACATCCCAGAATATGGCATTCTTTATAGTCACCGCCGTGAAAACCTCAAATCTTGCACAGTCACTCATTTCTTGCACGATTTTCCCTTTTCATCTATTCTTCTACTATGCATTCTGAGTTTGTTTCAGGCTTCAAGGCCCCATTTACACCCGGTCTCAAGAGAATGGAAACTCTTTCGAAATGCGCATGAGCCGGCACGAGACCGGACCACAGTGGCTACGGATGTCCACTGAGGTCACTTGGACACGCTTTTCTGCCATTCCCACTTCCTTCCTGAGGCAGCATGAGGTCTGGGAGGGATATAAACTCGTGACAAGCCGTACTTGACCCTATAACGGATACCACCCCTACCTGCATGAGGTATATAAAAACAGCCGAGTGTACAGACACCACAACACCGCAACATGCATACGCTGGCGAGTACCGCTCCATCTGAGGTTCTGCCTTATGGGAAATATCTTACCCTTACCGGGAATCGAAAGTCTCTCCTCCAGCACGCAAATACATTGACCCACTTCGCATTCTTAGCAAGCAAAACCTTCAGTTAAAACTGATTTCTGAAAAGCAAAGTCTTTTTGTTTGTAACGGTGATTCGGAGGGATATATCGCATCCATCTTCACGATTTAAAAGTATGCCAAACAACCAGCAGAAGAGGACGGTATTCTGAACTCAGATTACTCTTCGACCCCGAATACGGAGCGATATAGTTCTCTGAAACGTCGGATAGTCACTGAACTACAACGGGATACAACCCAAAGGCCGAACCCTTCATATTCGCTACCAACAAACTAATTTACTTTCTGAGACGTCTCCATGTCCCTTCATATACACGGCCGCGTACAATTCTCTCGTAAACATACATAAAAGGCAAAGTTGTCTGTGTGCTTAACTAATTACAAACTACGCCCAGAAGACGTATGGTGGAGTGGATGTATATATCCACGTATTCTTGACGTCGGTATTACTTGGAGAAGTGTTCAGCTTCATGCCCCAGCCGCTTTACCCACGGGGAAAGATACCCCGTACCCATTGGACAGGAGGCAGTTTGGGCCCCAGAGCCGAAAAAATTCCTAATCCTATCGGGACTCGAACTCCGACCCCTCGGACGTCTTACCCGTAGCCAGCAGCTATACCGACTGCGCTATGACATATTTTGAACGTCCAACCTGGTAATTTGTATGCGTGTGTCTTGAGATCCGAACAGAAGGCACGTGCCCCTGAAAGCACAGCGACCCGACCAACAAACGCATTAATCACAGCAGCGACCCGAAGGAGAGTATACAGTTTCGCTGCACTGCCACCAGAGCGGGACACTTGCCAGATCTCGTTAGCAATGAAGGGTTGTAACGGCGTGTAGTTCAGAGGGTTCAGAGACAGCCAGACGTTTCGGAGACACACATCGCCTTCACATTGAAGGTCGATGAGTAAATGAAGCAAGAAACCAGAATAAGGTGACGTTTCGTTGATTCGAGTTACGTAGTAAGTTTTGAGAACCACTGCAAATAAGGGACGCCAAATTCTGCTTTTCTCATTAAATTCAGGTTTGAGTAATTTGGAAAGATATTACGTGGGGGGGGGGGCTCCACTGCAAGGGAACTTAATTTTGAATGAATTTAAATCGGGTAGGGGGAGGGTTGCATGAGAACCAGCTCAGCATTCGCTTAAAGAAAGGAAACCCAAGAAAAACTGTGTCAATATGGCCAGGAGCAGCACCTTCCAAATGCATACCGTCTTCAAGCCACAGCCCGGCAAACAAAGGAAACTTCGCAAAAGCTATCTCTGTAACAGGCCGTCGAGGCTCCCACAAGCCTCAGTCGCTTGTAAAGGCGCAAATTAAATCGATCCGAATCGACACGCCACGGACGCGGAACGAACTGCAACGAGAAGGCGCCCTTAGAAAGGGCTCATACGAAGCAAACACAGCCGCTCTTATAACTGGTAAGTAATCATGTTTACTTACCGAGACGGCGTGCGGATCACTGACTCTGGTCCCTGAAACATAAATAAATCGCTTATTATTATTTAAACTGCAAATGGGTTTTTACCCGGTGACAGTGGTACTACAATAAGACACAACACAATTAACACACATCACACAAAATAACACACCACGCTCAAACAAAACACAGCACACAAAACTACACAAACAATAAAGTACACACTACACATAATGAACACAATGCACATATAATTACAACAATTAAATACATTAATATTAATAAAAAATAAGTATACTACACAATAAACAGTAACAGTAAACACTTGCTACCATTCAATAAACTGAGGGTGTTTCAGAACAGCTCAGAGATATACGTGTCCCTGTAGACATATACGGGAATGGAGGTATAGCTCCACCATTCTTGTTGTCGGCACCAGGTGAGTGGTCAGCTTCACGCTGTGTGTGGTGTATGGACAGAATTCGTGTGTCCCAGGATAAAGACCGGTGGCGGGCTCTTTTGCACACGGTAACGAACTTTCGGGTTCCATAAAATATTGGGAATTCTTTGAGTGGATGAGCAACTGGCGGCTTCCCTGCTCGATAGACAGTTTGAAGAACGGGAGCTGACGAGAATATCTGGATCCATGTGAGAAAAAGTAATAGGAGGATAGAGAAAACTGCAGAGTGAGGGGCTTGATAATTTGTACTCACCGCCAAACCAAGAATGATAACATGAACTGGACATGTAACACGCATCAGGGCAATGGGAAATACACACAAAGTTTGAGTGGGAAATCTGAAGCAGAAAGGACAATTTGAACATCAGCCTGGCGATGGAAGGATAAGCCGCAAGGGGAAATGTGTCTTCAGGTTCGGCCACACAGAGCGCTACGTACGCTATGTTCGCTATACGAACAGAAAAATATCTCCCTTTATTGCCAATGTGACTGGCCACACAGACTTCCGTACGCTATGTTCCCTATGTTAGCTGCGTCGCAGTGTACACAGCGTACGTAGCGCTGAGAGGCCGAACCTTTAGAGAAACACATACAAAGTGAAAATGCGGACTAGAGTCGCCTAGCACAGGTAGCTGACAAAACTGGCCTAGAGACGGATCGAACTGGCTCAGGATGGTGTCCAGTGGCGGTGTTGAACCTTCGGGTTCTGCTACCAGAGTTAGTTAATTAATAAGCTGGATCTTAGGGAAATAAGCTGTGAGGATGTAAGGTGGACATAACTGGCTCAGGATCGTGTCTAGTGTCGGGATTTGATAGTGAAGGTGTTGAACCGTTATGCTGAAGCCGAATGCCTTTCAGGAGATTTAAATAACACACAGTCATTTCACTAGACGGCAGTACGCTACGAAAGTCACTACTCCCGCCATCTGCCCCTGAACTCACGAATTTCCAGAACAAATGGTCGTTGGCAGAGACTCCGTCGGCAAAGCGACTGGTGTTAGTTACTGCCTGTCTGAACACTCGTGTATATCAAGACTTGGGTTTTCACAGTACTGAGACATATCTTCTGGATTATGATACAGTGTACTCAGGCACGTTGTTACCAAAGTTTCGGAGGCACATCCTGTCTCCATCTTCGGGAAAGAAGATGAAGGCATATGCTAACAACGTACAAGACTGAATAGTGTCAAAACAAATATGATCACAATATTAATATCTTAATATATTTATGCAAGGACGTTCAGAAAATACACTACGTCTCCATTACAAGGACCAACAATTAATTCTGTTTAGGGAAATAGTCGCTATTTATGCCATGGAGAGGCGGGCTACAATATTTCCACCGTACCCATTCGAGCCGAATAAGGCGATGGAAAGGCAACCCGGTCCCTGGGGGTATAACTGGGCCACCCTGTCACTGGGGGGACATGAACACCGGGACCTGGTCCTGTAGGTTGTGGGTTGGACGCAAAGCTGATGACCTCGCTACGAAAACATTTTTTTTTTTGCGAAATCCAAAGAAGGGAAAACCGGGTGGTCTAATTCACGATGGAATAGACAAATCTGGCAGAGTCTTGTAAGACCATGGCTAAAAAAGAGCTGTTAAGTCAATGATGATAATGATGATGATGATTCCACGAATGATATGAAATACATAACGACACTCCGTCGGAAGAGGCACGCGGTAGCGTAGTTGGTTGAGGCACTTTGCTACAAAGCGGAAGGTCGCGCATACGAGTCCCGATGAGATGGATTTTTTTTCAATTGACCTAATCCTTCCAGCCGCACTATGGCCCTGGGGTAGACTCAGCCTCTAACAGAAATGAGTACCAGGAATATTCCTGTGGGTAAAGGGCGGCTGGTACGTAAGGCTGACATCACCGCCATCTGTGAACCGACTGTCTAGAGAAAATGTGGGAGCCTCGACGTCTCACAACCCTGTGGGCACCCACGGCCTGTACGGTTTACCAGAAGAGTTGTGAACACACAGCAACTGCTGTGACTTAAACTGTTACATGTGTACATGTGTTTATGAATTTCCAGACGCAATACCGTTACGTCACGACCATGTACTCTGGTTTTCACATTCTTTACAGAAAATGGTGAGGTCAGAGAACAGACAAGGTCAACAGACGGCAGGAGTTGTCTGGAGTCGAGCTGCAACTGTCAGTACAACAGCCACGAGACATCCATACTGGGACCAACGTGAATATTTTATTTCTGCCAGTTGGAAGATGCGAGTAATTCTATTTCGTTATTTGTGTCACTGTGTTACCTTCTGTCGCCACATCACGCGTTTTCTATACGCCTAAATATAAAAACTCTGCCCTATTTTAATTCGGTTTATATATTTACACGTCTCTCTTCCCCTCTCTCTCCTTGTCCCTCTCTTATTTCTCTTATGCCTTCAGGCCCCTTCTTGTCTTCTTGTGCGCCCTATGCCTTACTTCCTCATTACATTGCATGAGTTTATCCCGTGGTTTCTTATGAGAAAGAATAGAAAAGGTAAAGCTATCCCTGTAACAGGCCGTGGAGGCCCATAGGCTTGTGAGACGTCGAGGCTCCCACATTATCTAGACAATCGGTTCACAGATGGCGGTGAGGTTGTCAGCCTTACGCGCCGACCGGCCTTTATCCCCAGGAAGATTCCTGGTACTCATTTGTGTTAGATGGTGAGTCGACCCCACGGCCATAGTACGGCTGGAAGGATTGGGTCAACTGGAAAACCCAATGATCTCATAGGGAATGGAACCCGTGACCCTCCGGCTTGTAGCATAGTGCCTCTACCAACTACGCTACCGCGTGCCCCTGTATGTTAACAGAGTAAGAAAGTAAACTGAAAGACGTGGTGAGGGGGGGGAGAGAGAAAGAGGTAGGAAATATAGTAGAAAAGTAAGTGAAAGCGAAAAGTCATGGGGAAAGCGAGAGAAGACACTTTACTGTGGAGAAAGAAAAAGAATATAATTTTTTAGAAGGTTCCAAGGCTTCGTCCACTCGGCCTTCTGATAAGAGTGAGATGGTAAACAACTGTGAACTAAAGACTTATACATCAAGTTCGTACCTCACAGAAAATACTCTATGCCTCCATTACAAAGACCAACCTGATGTCGTCTCGGGAAACAACCGCCACTTATTCTATGATTTATATAAAATATAAAATACATAAACACACTCTGTAGGCCTAGAGGCCACGGTGTAGACTGGTATACGGAAGAGCAGGAACATCGGCTACACTGACCGAAGCCACTATTCGTTTTTCTCAGTCACTGCAAGCAAACGCTACCATCGTTTCCTTCCAAATCCTTTCCAACTGATTACCCATAAATCATCGTACAATTCGATGTAGTGTAGACCGGATAAGGGATCAGTGTTGAGCCAAGTCCCTCCCCCAGAACAAAAAATCCTTCGTACGAAAAATTCATAGTTCTTTACCGTTAAAACAATTGGTATACATAGTAACCACTGCGTTACAGGAACCACTGGCACTTACTTATTTACTCATGGAGCTGAGCCCTTCTTGAGGAGCTGCCACTTCTGCAGCTACTCAATAATTTCCCAGCATTTTATGGAACCCGAAAGTTCATTACCGTGTTCACAAGAGCCCTCCACTGGTCCCTACCCTCAGCCAGATCAATCCAATCCATCCCATCCTATCTCTCTAAGATCCATTTTAATATTGCCCACCCACCTACGCTTTGGTCTTCCTTGTGGTCTCCTTCCTTCTGGCTTTCCCACCAATATCCTATACGCATTCCTCGTCTCCCCCATTCGTACTACATGCCCTGACACCTCATCCTCCTTGACTTCATAATTCTAATTACACTTGGAGAAGAGTACAAGTTATGAAGCTCCTCATTATGCAGTTTTCTCCAACCTCCTGTCACTTCATCCCTCTTCGGTCCAAATATTCTCTTCAGCACCCTGTTCTCAAAATCTCTCGGCCTAGGTTCCTCCCTTTAATGTCAGAGACCAGTTTCACACCCATACAGAACCAGAGGCAAAATTATAGTTTTGTATATTGTAATTAGATCTACTGGGACTAGGAAGTTTAATTTAGGAGTATCCCGCCACATTACCGTTATGTTTTGATCACGCCATATGGTCATATATTCCGTTTGGAAGATCTTGTGGGTAAGGAACAGGCAAGGTCAACAAGCCCCAACGATAGATCCCCCTTGGCAACCACGCCCTCAAATGGACAGTGGCTACTATAAATACTGTCCTGTTACATTTTGAGGGACACGTTTTGCACAAAGCAGCCAGCAACACAGACCTCAAAATGTTCAGATTGGTGAGTAATCAGCGTCCCCTAACAGTATTTCTAAACGCGATACTATCGTAACATCAGATATTACAGTGTTGCATTCGAGTTCAGTGACTTAGCTCGTACGATCGTCTCTTTAGTCTATCAGTTGCCTACATCTCTGTTAAATCATTCTCTGCATCTTCCAGACATCTGAATCCGGGGGTCTTATCACGTTTCTTCCATTTTCTGGTTTCTTTCAAATAGTGTCTCAGCCGTTGCTGTTTCATTCGTTTTGATCACGTGTCCCAACCGTTGTAACTTCCTTCTTTCTACGTCTGATACCAAGTAAGGAGTTTTATACAGGGTGTTTCAAAACAGTTGAGTCGAACATGTATCTAGTGTTCAGGACATTAAGAGGACGCAGGAAGCTCCTACGAATGTAGGTCAGCAAATGATTATTTAACTAAAATAATAATAATAATCATTAATGACCATTTTCATTAACCTGTGAACGTTTCGTCCATTTTAAACACCCTGTATAATTATCTCAGTTCTTGGTTAGTTCTGACTCCCCAGGTCCCTTGCTCACTTACTGGTCCACATGTCTTCAATAGCAGAAGTACCAGGTTTAATCCTCAGTGCTAGATCCTGGACATAAAACACATACAAGTCCCTAAGAACTTCAGGTGCAGGGAAGAGATCCTGATGAAATTCCAACAGATGTCACGTAGTCAGATATAGCAATTATAGCGAATGTCGAAATATTCGACGGTTGGTTTTTCTAGGGTTCAATATTACAAAATTGGTAGAGATAGGAAGTTAGACCACTTCTTATGAATACCCTCAAACTTGCTGGAGTAATATTGAGCGTCCTACGTTTTAATTTCTTATTATTCCTTCCTCAGGTGAAACCGTATTGTATTCACACATACGTCATATGTCCTTGTTGCAGGTGGTGTTGTCCGCTCTTGTAGCAGTGGCTAGTGCCCGACCAGGCATTGCAGCTCCCGCTGTGGCAGCTTATGCTGCCCCCGCAGTGGCATCTGTAGCCGCCCCCGCTTTGGCTGCATATGCCGCCCCCGCTGTTGCACCTGTAGCCGCCCCAGCTGTGGCTGCATATGCCGCCCCCGCTGTGGCAGCTTATGCGGCCCCCGTGGCTACCGCCGTCACTAAGACTGTTCATTACGCCTCTACACCCGTAGTTACCGGATATACTTCTCAGGTAAGATCATGGGCCTATCCAGTTGCAGAGATTGTCGGATCAATACAATATTTAAAGGGTTAAAAATTTGTATGCCCATCGCTTTGTGTTTATTTTCTGACCAGTTCAATTCTTTTCCGGTTTTTCAAGATAACTGAACAGAAGACAAGCTAAGCGTACATTTTACATAATCGACAGATGTCCTCCGGCCACACAGGAAAATAACTGAACTCTCTTACGTTTTAATCATAATTAAACTAAGTTCCTTTCCGTTTCAACTTATAAGCCTAACGTAATGTAAACTTATATTTACTTAAAAATAACTGACTGCAAAATGAGGAACTTCATAACGTGTACTCTTCACCAAGTATAATTAGAGCGATCAAGTCAAGGAGGAAGAGATAGGCAGGGCATGTAGCACGAATGGAGGAGAAGAGGAATGCGTATAGGATATTGGTGGGAACGCCAGAAGAAAAGAGACCACTGGGAAGACCAAGACGTCGCTGGGTGGATAGTATTAAAGTGGATCTTAGATGGGATGGGATGGATTCATCTGGCACAGGACAGGGACCAGTGCAGGGTTCTTGTGAACACGGTAATGAACCTCCGGGTGCCATAAAATGCTGGGAAATTCTTGAGTAGCTGCAGAACTGGCGGCTCCTCAAGAAGGTCTCAGCTCCATGAGTGAATGACAATTGATTGCGCAGCCGAAGTCACAGAACTGTTGAGGTCATGTAGTTCGGAGACAGATCAACGCTTCGGAAGAACATATCGCCTCCATCTTCATGTCCGAAAGTTAAGCTAAACTGAGCTTGCAGTCTGTTCCTGTTAGTTTCTTGCCTGGATCATTCTTTTACCTTGAAGATAAGACTACGCCTTAATCGGATTTGCTTCTTTCCTTTGATGCGATCTATTCCAACACGGCTGTGTATTCCTTTTGAGGAACGCGCCTGTTAAATGTATAGCTAGCGCACAAAATCTGAACGGTGGCTTACGTCACACACGTCATCACTTGCTGCGCGCATGCGTAGATGGTTGCCTCCCTTTCTTTAGGTCTCTACACCGTCTTTGCAGTGTCTGTTTCATTAACGGTCTTAGCGCGTTCACATTTTGTCTGCCAATTCTACAATGAATATGTTTATGACGTTGTAAAGCCCGTATTCTTGCCTATCACAGTGTGGACTCGTGTGTTCGAATCCCACTCAAGTGATGGATGTCTGTCTACGTTTATCCTATGTGTAGGTAGCGGCCTTGCGACGGACTGATCTCCCGTCCAAGGAGTCCTACCGACTGTGTAAAAGATCAAGAAACTGAAAAAGCGGTCAAGGCCCCAAAAAAGGGTCTGTAAAACCATAATAATTTAGCACCAGACTGCCATACTCCTAACAGATTATTTCTGATTTCCATGTTGTTTCGACCTTTTTCAGGTGATCAAGCCCTCTCTGGGTGCCCTGGCTACACCACTCCAGACTGTGTCCCAGGTCCCTGTTGCTGCGCCTGCGAGAACTGTCGCCACCCTACAGCCCCACACTGAGGTGCGTCAAGTTGCCGTGGCCACCCCTGCAGTTGCTACCTTTGCCGCACCTGCCGTTGCTGCTGTTCCCGCCCCCGCCGTAGCCACTTATGCCGCCCCAGCCGTTGCTGCTNTCGCTCGCGCGCCCCCCCCCCCCCGTAGCCACTTATCCCCCCCCCGCTATCAAATCTTATGCCGCCCCAGCCGTAGCCACTTATGCCGCCCCCGCTATCAAATCTTATGCCGCCCCCATCTGGTAGAATTAACACGTCAGCTCCATTAGCACCATAAATGATTAATCTTCCCTTTCTAAGTCACTGCTCTGTGCTTAATTAGATAAGCACAGGGACAACTTTACTTTTACCCTTCTTATTTAATATCCAACATAAAGCATTCATCGGTTTATCAGAAAACATTTATGGACATTTAAAATTTGTATCCATTATGTATTAACATATCGGAGAGTTTCACTGAGGTAGGCGAAGGCCCAAATTGGGGCTGTAGCGCCAAAGGAAGAAAAAAATGTATTAACATATGGAGTGAGTTGGAATAAAGTACTGCTACTGTACATTTGTCTCGTCATTAACACATAAGCACCTTGCCGCCATTATGTTCACCTCTCCTGTGGGTTACTCCTGACATTGCCACAGGATTTGGACTGCGCAGTTATCCGTGTGCTTAATTAATTAGGCATTATGCTATGGGGAATGGAGGAATATCACCACAATTATTGACCTCCGCACTAGCAGGAAGCGGTCAGCTAGACGCTCCGACCGCTTTAACCTTCGGTATCCACTGGATAGGAGGCTGGATGATCAGGATGAACTGGAAGGGATTTGGAAGGAAGCGGTGGTGGCCCAATCTAGGTACCATCCCGAATGAGTAAAGTAGGAATGTAGCAGGAAATGGCACGTGCCCCGGCAGGGATTCGAAAGGAGCACCTCCAGAATGCGAGTCTATGGCGTCACTACTACGCCATCCCACACTGCGTTACGTTTATGCTTTCATTCAGAACTGAACACACGTCATGAGAACTACGGTTAGAACGCCGGGGATAATAGAGGTTACTGCCTACTTTGACTTGACGCCGTACAGTCTACCCTTGAAAATGACCTCTAAGTGACCACTGTTTCCTTGCTCTGTTTCTACAGACTCCCCTCCAAATACTGGTTCTTTCAGCCATCAATTTCCCAGTCACTCTGCCCTGGAAAACGGCCCTTTTAAGGGCTGAATACTCTTTTACTTTGTTCTGTTCGTTCCTATTGGTTCGCGCAGAGCGTCGGTTCCTAAAGCATAGCTCCATTATATGCGTATCGTTTTTCCCAAAGTTCAGCTTAATCTTCTACCCTGAAGATGGAGGCAAGAAATTTCTCCGAAAAGTTGATAACAATGGCATCAAATCCCAGAACGCAATAATCCCCACGGATATTAAGTAGATTCACATATATCCATCATGAATATAATTAATATTTTAATAAATAAGAAAGTGCCGTTATGAAATATGGTTAAAAGAAACAGTTCTGGTTTCAACATGCCAACCTCCCCATAAACAACAGCAGCAGCTGAAGAGCGTGTAGCAGAAGGGAAATTTTTACTTGAAGAGCAGACATTGAACATAGAAAAGTATCNCCGGGTGTAAAGCTGCAGACAAGCACCGATACACGAAAATGCACTTGTCGACCTTCTCATTAATCTAAATATACATCAGTAGCTTTTGTCACGGGGATTTACGTATTGTAGCGTGTAGGCCTGTTACTAGGTAACGACCGCGGTACGTAGGTTTGTTCATAAGGGACAAACCCATCTTCTTACTAGAGAGGATGTTACATAAGCACTATGACCGCAAAGATTTAGTTCCAATATATATATATATATATGTGTGTCTCTGGTCGTGAGTCTCATGGGGCTTGACGCCAGGACGAACTGAATGGCGGTAAGCTTCCAGTCGTAAAGTAACTCTGACTTTGCAATAAGTCGGTCTATGAAGAGGAGACTTAGTCGATGCTGTTGAGTTCAGTCACGAGGCGGTAGCCAGCTGGCAATGGCGTGAGAGCGGAAGCTGAAGTATCCCCACTGTTAAAAGCCGTTACCAGGAAACGACTAGTGAAGACTGTAACACTAGCGTGTGTGCAACAGTAAACTGTCAGGGATGACGCTGTAATTACTTGTAGTCACGTGCTGTATGTTTAAGTTTTCATTAAATCTAGTCACCAATTCATACTCCGTCTTACAGTTACTCCCTCACGTGACAGTATTATTCAAGCGGGGGAGGGGGGTTGCAGTATCAAAAACTTTGAAACCCCTTGATATGGGACCTGACGTATAATTTGCTAAAGGTCTTTAAAAGTCCCGGCTTTTAGGTACAACTTAATTTTTTAGCCTAAATTACTTATTTTGAAAAAAAGTAGGCTTATGCGATCCCCATACTGTCTGTGTATCTGTGAATCACCCCTTATCAACTTTTGAATGCCTAAACCAATTTTTATGAAACTTGGTATGTATATCAAGGCACCTGGGTCCATCTCAAACGGCGTATTTCATAAATCCCTCTCATCAGTCTGTGTGTCTATCTGTATATGTATCCTCCTATCGTTGCTAGGCAACAACTCGATGAAAACGTTACCGCGGCAAAGAATACACACGCAACAATAAGATAACTGTTGGACACGTCGTTTTCGATGTGACCCGTGTCGTATCAAAGGAAAATTAGCGATTAGTTCTTCCAGGAGCTTGTTTCTCCTCTTGTGTTGTCAGTGCACGCGCCTCAAATCCGTGCACGGAAGCAGGCAGATCCATAACATTACACAACAATGTTTCAGAAATAAATGTGAAATAAATGAAGGTCTTCAGACACATCTGGGGTGGGGGGGAGTACAGATCTGCGATAGTTTCATATTGGTGTACAGTGAAATGTTCCGGGACACACGCATGCTGCGACCTTGATGCCCCTTCTGGGGATATACCGAACCACACCCGTACAGAACGATCTTGAAGGAAGAATAACTGAAGGAGAAAGCTCGATTCAGTGCCCTGTTCACATAAAAACTAACCAACTTCTGTATCATAACATGCTCAAGCCGTAACGAACAAAGTGTGGGGTCGGACATGAAGCCTCCAACATAACTACCGAGGATATGATAATGTGCTGCGTGACCAGGGCTACAGCACACCTCAGGGGACAATGACAGATGAATATGGAGCAAAGGTCGAATGATTATTATCCGGGAAAACCTAAAAGAAATTCTATGAGAAACCTGCTAAGTAACAGATTCGACAACCTAGGAAACAGAAGTTTGATTCCCGACAAGGGCAAGTGATATTTTTTGCCCACCACAACGTCCAGACCACCCATGGGGCTTACCCGTCCTGTAATTCAAACTTATAGTGGATTCTTACGACTGGGAGTAAATCGGCCGGAGCGTGAAAAGTGATTACTCATCTCCATCCAATACCAAGTTTAAGAATGGGAGGATCTAGACCTCCACTCACACACGTCTTCATGCAGTAATGCTTCATTAATACGCAGAGAGACATGTTTGTGTTCCTACAATCATCATTCGTATCATTATAAAAGCGGGAAGGTCGCGGGTTCGATTCCCGATGATTGGAATTTTCAATTGACCTAATCCTTCCAGCCGCACTATGGCCCTGGGGTAAGCGGCCTCCGTAGTCTAGGGATAACTCAAGGTACTCGGGTTCAAACCCGGCGGAGGTCGTGGAATTTTTAAGGGCGGAAAAATTCAGGGAACAAGTCCTCCGGGAGGGACTTTAAGCCGTGGGTCCCGTGTCGTAGATTTACGGCACGTAAAAGATCCTCATGTCTCTAGGAGACCTCTGAGCAAAATTAGGCAACAATTTCCCGCCCAAGTAGTTTCCAATGCCTCTGGTAGATGGGGGAAATATCAGGTACCGACGGCCGACCTCGTTGGCTGAACGGGGCTGATAGCACGCACCAGTACCGGTAGGGTATGGCGACAGTAGAAATTAAAGGGGGACGCACAATGGGCCAATAACTGGTCTAAGTGCATGGGGAAACCCACACCCTCTAATAATAATAATAATAATGACCCTGGGGTAGACTCAGCTTCTAACAGAAATGAGTACAGGGAATCTTCCTGGGGGCCAAAGGGTGGCCGGCGCGTAAAGGTGACCTCACCGCCATCTGTGAGCCGATTGTCAATAGAAAATGTGGAAGCCTCGACGTTTCACACCCCTATGGGCCTCCACGGCCTCTTACAGGTACAGCCTGACGTGTAGGGTGGTGGGGGGCCATACACGTACGAGTCTGGCTCGGTTCGGGTTCCAATGAGCCAAACTCGTCCGTGTGTGGGTCGCCACGCTTATACGTGTGTGGTGAAATTAATCCCAGCCTGGCTCCTCGCCGAGCCTAAGGCTGACAATCTCAGTGCCATCTGTGAACCGATTGTCTAGAAAATATAGGAGCCTCAACGTGTCACAGCCGTACGGGTTTCCACGGCCTGTTACAGGGATAGCTTTACCGTCATCATTATTACTGAAGTCTGTGCGATAAGCCACTTATGGTCTCTCCTGATGTCCTGGCCTACGCAGTACACGGATAATTATTTAAATTCTTATTTGAAAACATATAAACGCCAGGAAGATTGCGTAACAAAAAAAGGGGGTTTACGTTTCGTGATGATGATGCAATCAATTCGAATTATTGCAGAAACCATGACTTCATACAATAAAGAAATTCGATGATGAAATTTGATGTGGGCTTCGATCATTTTCTTGCTAATCTGCGCTCAATTTACCCCGAAAAAACACGGCTAACAGAGGACCGGAATTCGTATCCGCTTTGCTCGTATACGTCTACCTGGAAGTGACGTCATGAACATGTCCAAATGCCTGCACGTATTACTATTTAGTCTACGCAGGGAAATGTCTCTCGGTTTGTCGTATGCAAGGGGTTCAAACACTCCGTGGAGCTCGTATTGCGTTAACACTTCGTAAAAACTTTTTTTTTTGCTATGAGTTGTTAGCCTCATGCCCAATCCTCATCTGGAAGATAATCCCTTGTCGGCTGTCACAGACTGCTTATTCAATATATTCACAGACAGACGTACATGCAAACAGAATCCCGGTCGGAATCAGTGTCGACATGTCCCACAGTAATGTCCCTTTAATCCATCCAGCTGCATATTGCGTGAACTGGTGATTTCAGAGCGGCCCTCAAGGGCTACATGGAAACCGCATCTAGAGATTCGAATTGCCACATTTGAGGCCGCGCCATAGCTCAAGCGGTTAGTCGCGGCCCGTGTTCGATCCCGGGTCTAGTCAAGTGGGATTTGTGGTGGACAAAGTGGCGCTGGGGCGGGTATTCTCCGAGTACTTCGGTTTCCCCTGCCAATCTTCATTCCACCAAATTCCCCATCATCATAGTCACCCGGGTCAGGT